ATTTATTTATTTATTGCATATGTTAATTTCGTCGATCCAAGATATAAAGCAATATAATTTTCGGGTTTTAAATAATAATAACGTATTTTCTAAATTTATTTTCGGAAAGCATGGGATAAAAATAGCTACCTAAATTAAGACCCTGCATGTCATTACACCCATATTATTACTTTGCTTTATTTAAATTTATTGTCTATTTTTTACTTTAATAGAATACGATGAAAAATACTATGCGTAAAACTTCTACATTTTTCAAAAAACTTGGTAGCAAGGTATACTCAAATTTTTTTCTTATAATTAAATTCTTATTAAAAAAAAAATTTTTTTTTCAACAATATATTTATTTATTATATTATTGTTATTTAATCTTTTAAATTCAGTCAACCTCCGATAATTCTTTTAATCACAGTGAACGCCCACCAATTCCAGATTTTCAAGTACACAATTCTCAATTTGTATCTTCTGACACATCACAACATCATACACCAGCCATACTAGATGTTAAAAGTGATTCTACAATTCTGGACCCTTTTTCAAAAAACATTGATGATACCTTTTCAGATAATAGTGCAAGTATTGATGAAAAAGAATTGCTTAAACGTACATTACAAGAGTACTCCTCTGTGTATATTGATTATGAATTAGACGATGACAATGATCGAAAATCAAGTTTGTACCGAATGTCTATACTAGGTGCTAACAAAAGTGTTCCTGATAATATTGGGAGAACTTATAATTGGAATGATCAATCTTCATATGATACCACTGAGAATATACCGATAAATACGAGTTATGCAACCAATTTTTTTGATAGTAAAAGAGTTAGTGGAAACACATTCATGAGTTTACCTGTAATAAAAAGTGAAAAGAAAAAGGCAGAATCAAAAATGGTATTGGAAGATATAAAAACTTTTAGTTTATCTCGAGTCAAAGAGGAAGATAATGAAGATGATATCATTGTTAAAAAATTCTCATCAAAAAGTTCAAAAACAAATATGAAAGGGAGCACAAAGAATTCAAGTAAGCACCATGACGTAATGAAGAAGCACGTGTTAATTTTAAAATCAAGTTTTTCTATTGTAATACATCATAAATAATCTGAATTTTATATAAATTTATCTAGTGAATAATGAAAGCGTATCCACTACAAATATTGATCTTAGATCTCCTATTCAAAGATCTCCTTCCAGGAGTACTGATGATTCATCTCCTAGCCGCAAAAGTAGTAAAAAATCTTTTCATAGCAGCAAATCTACAACATCTCTTTTTACACCAAGTTCTTTAATGGCTGAAGCTGAAGAACACATTGCATTATATACATCATTATCTGCACAACAACGAAGAGTCGTGTTGAATAAAAGTGCATCTCACGGCTCCTTTAGGGATATAAAAGAAGACGATACGTTTGTTGATAATAGAACATTGAGAGCTAATTTGGATGTAAGAGGTATAAGTGTGAAGACAAGACCGGGAAGTGAAACAGGTACGAATTCTGGTCTCAGCCAAGCTACGATACCAAAACGGCCGGATAAAAAATTGCCGGATATACCAAAAATAGACTTAAAATCTAAGGCTGATGTGTCAAACTCTCGTTCACCGCATTGTCAAGCTTCCAGCATTGCCAGTTCTTGTTATGAAACTGCCA